AATGACGTATTATGCTCACAATCAGTTTCGCTCACTATATCGAAATTTGGTAAGTATGGTTGTTGGAATCACTGATTAGGAGGCTGATATTAAAATTGTAAAATCACAATAATATTAACACTAAACCTACCGACATATTATATATACCTATTTCTACCGATGGCTGTCAAATGACCGCTTTTGAAATAAACATTATAGTCTTTTCTAGTTGATTGTAATTAATACAGAATTTAGCATAGTCGTGCAGTAAGTTCAAGAAAAATAAAAACCTGGAATTTAACAATTTTGATTGAAGTCTCAAAAGCGGTCATTTGACCGCTCTGGTAGGTTTAGTGTTAACATGTATCCAATTTTCATTCCAGTACATGAGTATTGTTACACTTTCTTCACAATTTGATTTCTAAACAAAAAAAAATACAGGTTTGATAATGAAATGTCAATTTTTCTACAGTTCATGTTCCGATTGCTAAAAGAATAAACATTTACGTATAAAGCTAACGATATAGAAACACAAAAAGTTTACTGTGTCTTCTATTCATGAGATAATAGACAAAACCCAAAATTTCCACGTGGGCTCAATTTCTAGTACACATCATTTTTCATCACATCACGTCACGTGAAACATTTTTCCGGTATGCTTATGGTAGTCGAATTTAAAATTAATTAAAATTATGCATCGCAAATTATTTATGTTTCAGTCGTAAATCGTTCATAGATAATATATTCAAGTTATCTTCACTCTATGAGAAAACTTATTCTCAGAAGAGTTTTTAATTAATTTCGCAATGTCAACTCTTATTTTCCTTCACGTCAGCGACCTGCCTCGATGCTCGTGCCATTGCTCCTAGTTATTATATGCGGATGACTTAGTAGGCTATCTCAGTTACCCGATTAGTAAGCTTTCACAAATCTTTAGACGACCGAACGATGACCTCAGCAACACCCATAACTGGTGTATAGCCAACAAACTGAACCTAACTCCGAGAAAAACCAAAGCCGTGAACATTGGGAGTTCACTATATATAAGCATGCTACAGACACAAGATGTGCCTCTAGCCTCTCTAGCCTCTATCTCCAAAAAATGCCAATCAAAATTATCTTTATCTTTAAATATCTTGACACGATCTTGGATGGTACATTATCCTGGACGCAACAGGTCACCCCTATAGTAGTAGTACTAGGTAGTACTATATATGTTAAAGAAACTCTTTTCATTTACATCCCCCTTGAATTCTGCTCATTTCAATTGATCGTGTATTCGATGAATTTACCATACGGTGCATTTCTACTGGTATTAGACACACTTGGTGTGAAGGGTCCCTTTATTTCAAACATGATACCTTGGAGGTGCTAGGACACATGTATCGAGTTCCCTGCGGAATGCCTACTACTCAGCCCACTTTCTAGGGTCCTCAGGACCCTTGGAAGATGCAGGGTACAGAGGCGTGCTTAGACGGACCGAGCCAACTGAACTCTACACCTATATTTTAGGTGTTCCTAACAACCCCATTGTAATTTCTAATGGCTGCTTTTGCCTAGTTTCCCCACTTCTGTTCCAAACAGTGATTTGACACTGTAAGAGATGAGTCTTCCTTGACAATCCTTTTCCTACAATACCGACGGTTGACTTAGACGATTTTAATCGATATCGATCACAAAACTGTTGTACCCGTTATCGATAATTGAATAAATTTTTGTTACTTTATTTTACCATGTAATCCTGTGTCGCCTAAATTCTTAAAGACGCTATCCCCGATAACTCATAAGGAGCGTACGAAATTGCACTATCGACAAACGTTACAATACGTATTTAATATATCCGGTATTTGGTAAAAACTTATTTTTTTTTTTATTTTCCCGGACAAACCCTACATACCGTAGAAAGCACTTGAATGATCATATTAAATAAAATAACTCACCTATTTGAAGCAAAGAAGCTGGATCCTCGGAGCGAAGCGAAAAATAAAAAAAAAAACTCGAAATATTTTGAGACTGTACAAGGAAAAAATATTACATTAAATGCACGACTGTTCGTACTGGCGATCCTATGACGAATGAGAGTTCTCGTGATCTGCGGCAACAATTATTAATTTCTGATGTTTATTAAGCCTTTTATTGGCTGTAACGCAGACCCCCGATTCATGGAGATTAAGTTATCTGAGGAACGTAATAACCGGTATGTAAAGCAAGCAGGTGCCTCTTTGCCTTCTGCACGGAGAGAAGGGTTTGATAAAAATTACTGGTATAAACTATCTCCAGTGCCTGGCAGATGTAATCTATGACGAGATTGGGTCAACTATTTTCATAGGACAAACCAGCTGCATATCGGAACGCACCAATTGCCATTTTCACTGTCACGGATGTTATTAGTATCTTAAACCATTTTTCCCAGAAGACAAATACACCGAAATTCAGTGACAGTACTGTGAAAGTAATAACATTTCTCGAAGATACGTATGCACGAATAAGAATGCAGCCTTAGTCGCAGTACTGGCAGTACATTACCGAACAGACCCGGTAATCTATAACATGCCCAATATTCTTTCATCGATATATCAGGAGTTTAGTATTCTGCACGTGCATTAATTTACGATTGCACTGATTTGTAAACAAAATACATTCATTAACGTAAATATGAATAAACATCGGTTAGCTTACATAATGCGGAAACACGTAAGCTGCGTAAAAAGTTAATCGTGTACGAGGAATCTGTCACGACGATTCTCTCTCTCTCTGGCTGCTCCGATAAACGAAAACGTTAAGACATGCCCTTCCAATTACCCATGCAGGCTTGGCGAAGGTCAGCTAGGCGAGTTTACCTGCATTTAAAATAAAAAAATGTAACGATAGAAAAAAAATTTAATTATAGGAAAAAAGAAAATTCCGACCTTGTTAATTTCAAAATTAATATATTAAACATCATTTCTCAGTAATCCTATCGCTCTAGTAGTTCACCTGCGTCAGAAATTTCTATGATTACCAATTTGATTTACGATTGTTTTTATCAAATCCTTCTTTCCCGTATGCGTGTGATTCAGTTTGATAGCGCGTACCAGATCAACAGATCAACAGACTCGGTAGAGTCCTGCGCGAAGTACAGGCAATCGGCTGCACAGGGCACGGCTGGCAGAGACTCCTTACCCGAGTGAACTCTTGTTGTACCTGTGTTTCGTATGAAATATCTTATGAATCCCTATGTACGGGAAAAGGATATTGATACCTCGCTATAGGAATTGAGGGTTCTGATTCGATTCCACCAAGTTCAATACGATTAGTGTACGAAGTCAGGACTTATTCAGACGTGCGTAATTCATGTGCACGTACGTATATGTGTGCTTGATATAGCTCCTCGTATTTCCGGTGATAATTTTTAGAGGGGTTCAGGTGCTCCGCTCCGTAGTTTCCGGTCGTCCGCTGGACGTCACGTTACAAGCTCTACAGTGGAAGCTCACGCAAGGCCGGTGGTCGGGTAGGATCGCGATATGACATAGTTGCAACTTGATAAGTTGATTATAGCAATTAGAAAAGAGAAGGAAAGTAATAGCTCAAGATCTGTTGCTATTACACAGCGTATATCAGAGTCTCAATTCAAGCAGTGCACTAGTTTGGTACAGTGCGTAGTACCAAATTACAGCCACGGTGGATACTCGATTTTGATCAACCAAAAAAGACTGGCAGGGAGCTAGCTGGCATTCCTAGATAGTCTTGGGCTATAAAAATATTTTATTATATTTATAATTTACACCAATATGGGTAACTAGTATTTTACGCATCCTCGTGTATCGAGACGCTCTACTTGGCTGCGTTATTTCATAAAAATGAACGAGAGTCACCTCGTGTACGTTGCTTGTTAGTATGTTAGCAGAAACGTGCGGCTAACGTAATTTGGCTATAGGTCGTTAAAAAAATAATTTTCAAATTTTTCGAAATACTGAAAATATAGTTTCATGAGAAAATACGTGGAATGTGGTTTATTAAAAAATGTTAATATATTAAAATTATCTATACGCTGCGGCATTGCGGGCGATTGGGTGTTTTTTTTTAGTTACGAAATTTTTTGGGAATTTTCTTTCGCATCGATTTTTAATCCTTGTATTCTTGCCACAATCTCGCCGCCTTCTTTAGCGGCTGCCGAACCGGCGTTTCGGTTGATCTTAGCTGTTTGATTTTTCGAAGCTAATATTTCCGTTGCTCGACTGCTTATTTCATTCCAGGCAAACTCTATGTCCTTCTCTTCGCACAGTCTGCTGCAAACTACGAATCGCACTATCAGCTGGTCCTTGTAATTCGCTGCTATTGTGTAAATACGTTTCCTCTTCATTAAACGATCCAATAGTTCTTTGGTGAGACTGTTATCGCCCTGAGGAATAACAAAATTGTACATTTATTTTTATTACCGACCGACGATTACATTGTAAAAATATATTCTATTTCCTTCCTTACTTTCATTCTGAAGCACACGAGACCCA